ACAGCGAGCCCACTGCCTCACACTTAACACAGGCTGCACGAGAATCTTGTCTTTCATTCTCACGTGAGCTCCCTGGGGCAGTCAAAATGGGCATCCCCGCTGCACAGGTGGGTAAAGTAAGGCTTGTGAATTGTCCAGGGTCACCCGCTTAAGTAAGGTGGTACAGGGGCCTTGAAGCTTATCTCTTGTGCTGAGTCCCTGTCTCCTGTCTGGCTGCCTCTGAGAGTGACAGGAGGCCCTTACCACCTGAGATGGCTGGAGAAAAGGCAGGTACCTGATCTAGAGGGTGGTGGGGACCCATGGGAGGTGGGAGCCAGCTTAACAGGTTTCAGACCTCTGCGTTCTGAGTGGAGCGAGATGACCAAGGTCAAAGGAAAGGGATGGGACACCCCCAGACCTAGAGGCCAAGAGAGAACCCAGCCAGAATCTGCTTCACAACTGTTTTGTCCTATCCCCTCCAAGCCAACAGGGCTCTGTGATGACAGCCTTGGAAGCAGAAATAATAACAGTAATAAATAATAAATAAAATAATGGACAAGGAAGTTGCTTCCCCCGCTCAGAGAAATCTCTAGTCTAGTCGCACTTTGCTAAGTTGGGGGGTTCTTTGCCGTATCATCGCTTTCTGGCTAAATGTTTGGGACAGAGCTCAGATGTCCTGGGTTCAATGAAAGTGGGCGTGGCCACAGGGGGTGCGGGGAATGGGAAACTGAGCAAATTCTCAGGGTACAGGTGGGTCTTCACTCACACAAGATGGCCAGTGGCAGTCACCTGGTTGCCAAGGAAGGTGTCCTCTGGAGGCACTGAGAATGTCCAGCGAGGCCCTTCTCCTCAGACTCTGTAGCTGGAGACTGGTGGGCCCACTCCCCAGGGCTCCCTGGGCTGGCAGTGGAAGGTGCACGGTGAGGCAGAACCTGGGGTGTCCCTCCATGGCTGACTCCATTTCTGCCTGGTGGTCCCTCCTCAGGCTCCCTCCCCAAGCCCGTGGACTCTCTGGCCTGGTTTGGCAGGGAGTGGAGGAGGGGCTTCCAGACATTTTTTTGTGTTAGACAGGGACTTAGACCTTTGAACTTAAAAGCTGAGTATTTGGTCACCTTTGTTTCCTGATTCTTCTGTGCCTGGGCTAGTCTGGCCCTTGGCATGTTGGGAAGGAGTCCAGTCATTCCTTACTTTCCCTACGAGCATTGGCTGAGCTGGACTGTGTGCCAGACACATACCATCTCACCAAAGCTCTATAAGAGTCCTCTGAGGTGGGTCTTCGTCTCCCCATTCTAAAGTTAAACAAAGACACAGAGCAAGGGGCAGAATCCAGAAAGTTAAACTCCAGGGTCCCTGATCCTATTGCTTGGGGGCGGGGGGTGTTGTGCATCAGTCCTAGCAGAGGGGCCCTGAGGGATCTTGAATCCTGAGGGACTTGGGCGTTCCCTCCAGCAGATTTTCTGGGGCTAGATGAGAGGGTAGAAGAGGGGTGTGGAGTGTGGGCATTTCATATGAGGGGAGTTCAGGTTAAACAGGGGGGTCCAACTTGGTGCTGGTCTTGAATGGGGTGGGCAGGGCCTGTGCCTTCAGAGCTCTGGACAGAAGGGTTCCCTGAGGCCTGTGCTGCCCTAACTGTCCCCCACCCCTACAGCCTGGCTGCCCACTGTGGGCCGTGGACCAGCAGCCCCAGCAGCCCCCGCAAGCTTGTCAGCAATGCAGACTCTTGGCTGTCCCAGACTGACTGAACAGGAGCCTTCATTTGAACACGATCCTCAGGGCATTTGCATTTGTGTTAAAGTTTGAGAGGTACAGGTCTAGAAGCACTTCTCAGATACATCTCCTTCTCTGCTGAAGGGGTGGAAGACCATTTAAAATTAGGGCGTTTTTCACTCTAGGTAGTTGCTGTTGGTCCCTGAACATGAACGTGATGGGGACAGGAACCAAGATGGGGCTGGTCATTTCCTGCCATGAGCAAGGAAAAGGGGAGGGAGGGAGGGACAGAGAAGGAGAGACGCTTGACTGTGCTTCTGTCAGACCCCTTATAATAAAGCCCCCTTTTTTCTCCAGTGAGTTTGAGTAGGTGTCCTTGCTGCAACAATCCCTGACTGAGAAACCTGCATGAATGTCCTGCTCTTCGTGGCTCAGAACACCAGAACTAGGAGCCAGTGTGTGTCCTGGTTCCTGGAGACAGGAGGAGCAGCTAGGGCATGGACCAAGGAGAGCCTGAGGCAGAAATTCACAGCACGTGGAGCCTGAGCCAGGACATGCTGCCCTGCCCGCACTGTTCAGCCAGTGGGAAATGGGCACACTGCTTGGCTGGCACTGAGCTTGGTAATGTGGGTTCCATGTCCTTCCTTGGGGAGGGAGCAGGCAGAGCCCCTCAGTAGAGAAGCAGCACCCCCCCCTGCTCTTGGGGGTGGGGGTCAGGGAGAGGCCAGCCCAACATCATCTCCTTGCTCCCCAGAGGCAGTCCTACGGACAGTCTGACCTCTGTCTTCCCTTCTCTTAGGCACATCCCTCCCCAACTCTTCTCCCTCCACATGGCTTCCAAGGGACAGACCCCACACCCTCGCTCTCTGAAATGAGAACCAGGAACTTGGGCTGGAGGTCCCTCACCTGCTCAGCACCAGGGTCTCTTGCCTGGGAACACAGTCATCCCTGGGGGAAGATGGCAAAAGTTAACTGCCCAGCACCCTCTGGTTATAAGGAGAGAAGAGAGACAGAAAACACACCTCAAGGGAGGCCCTGTTTTCTAGAAACATTTCTTTATTTAAAATTTAAAACCATATTACTTCATACAGCAAACTGTGCACTTTGATATATCACAGTGTCTTAAAAAGGAAAATAATCGGATTTGTTTGGAAATTTATTTACATCAGCCTAGAATGATTGGCAAGTAACACAGTTACTATGAAACCCAAATTGTTACAAAATGTTTACAAAAAACTATATTCATAGAAATTCTGCATGTCCACAAAGGGCATCCCCTGAATGGCCCAGAGACCAGTGTGTGGGAACCATGTTGAGTGGGAGTGGGGGGCGTCCAGGCACTCTAGTCTGGGTGGTGGGACAGGCTAGGGGTCTCCGCCCAGGCAGAGGTGGGCTGGGGGCTTGGAACACAGTGGCATGAGGGCCCCTGGAGCCTCAGATCCCTGTGGAGCCAGGACAGGCCCCTCCTCAGTAAGCTGGATTCAGACATGCTTGGCCAGGGCCCCAGAGGCAGACCCAGGGTTAAGTGCAGCCTGACACCTGGGGCTGTAGCAAAGGGTGGGCTGCTGGCCGCATGGATCTCTCCACTCCAGATCTCTTTTCCCCTGCATGCTCCAGAGATGCTTGGACCCTTGAAAGGGGCTAAAGGACCAGAACAGCAGAGAACAGATGGATCTGGGTAGGCAGGGACAGAGGTCTCCTGCCCACTGGGGATGGGGGGCTTTCTGCCAACTGCACTGCTGGGAAAGACGCAGCAGGGGGGAGAGAGCAGGCAGAGGGCGCCGGGCTGTCCCGGGACAGGAACTGCCTTCTTGACTCTCACCTTTCACATCGCTGGCTCCTTGGTCACTCCTGGACAGCTGATCTCTGGGTCGAATGGGGCTGGGGAGGTTGTCCGAGGTGGGGAAAGCTCTTGGCTGGCATTTTACTGAGTCTATGGCTGCTTCCCCAGATCTGGAGGCCTCAGAGTTTTGATTGTAAAATGGAGACAAACTGTGGGGTGACTTGAGGTCCTCTCTTCTAGAAGGAAGGGGTGACGAGGGCAGAATCAATAACTAGGACACTAGGACATTGTATTGGCATGCTGGCAATGCCCTCAGGGCCATCCTCTTTAAAAAGCTTTTGACCTAGCTGTGAGCTGTGGGCACCTTCATGTGTGGCTGGGAATTTGAGGCAGAGGACTTTGCTGCCTGGATAGTACAGGTGGAGCCTGACACCTACCTACCTGGTGACTCTGCAGGCAGGGATGACAGCAGGCCTGCGGAATGGCCCCTCTTTCTCAGCCCTTTTGCTCCTATTAATGGCCCCAGGACTAGAAGGTAATATTGGCACAGGAGCCAAGTGCTAGTTCTTGTCGTTGTTCCTTCCCGGATACGCCCAGCTGTTTTGCCTTGACAGACTCCCAGATGGAGACAAGGTCCCTTGGCCCCTTCCACCCCTCCCATGGGAGGAACTGGCTGTGAAGGCCCACCCACCGCCCCTCAAAGTCTGCCCTCTTCCTCAGGGTCTGAAGCCCTGATGTATTTGGGGTCTTCCCATCCCCAAGGGCGTCTCTGCAACCTCCATCCCAGACTTTGCTGCTGTGGCCGCTGGCTCTCACCTGGTCCCCACCCATGCTGGCTGGGTTGTGTACACTCTGTGTGCAGACGTGCGGGGAAGGGATGTATACACATAAGCTACAGGTCATATATACACTGTGCATATATATATATATATATATATATATATATATATATACAGCATATATATATATATATTTACATTCATACATATATTGTACAGAACACTAACCTTCTACCTAAAACAGTTTTGTGACTTTGCATATGACCTCAGCTCTGAAATTTTAACTCCAGGGTAAATCCAGCACTGAAATGAGGGCTTGACTCAAACTGGCATGGGGACCAGAGAACAGGGCCCTTACATTGTAGCAAGCAGCTGGGCCCGTTCCCAATGTGTCCACTCAACCTGGGACTTCCAGATGTGTCTAATCCAGACACCTGTCCACAGAGTTGGGCCCATTTCTGCATCTGTCCATGGGGCTGGGCCCGCCCCAGATGTTAAGTCCATGTAACTGTTTGTCCAGACCGCTAGGCCCATCCCGGATGGGCACACACACGGGACCACTCCAGATGTGGGCCACAGAGTTGGGCTTATTTTCAGATGTTTGTGCGTATAGCTGGGAATGGCTCGGGGGGGATCAACTTCATGCTGAGTGATGAAGCAGCAGCTGTACCCCCATCCCCAGCACCCCCTGGAAAAGAAGGCAGGGAGGGAGACTCTGATTGTTCTTGGGAGTGTTTCGGTCTGACTTCCGCTCTCTGGGATGTGAAGGACGGGGGGAGGCTTCTAACCTGTTTGGACCCCTCCCCCATCCTGGGCCAGGATTTCCATCTTCCAGTGCCCGGGCAGAGGGCAGAGAGCAGGGAGCCAGGATGTGCTCTTCCGGTGGAGGCAGAGTCTTGGCTGTGAGGAGAGGGCAGTCCTCCTACCCCTCAGAGATTCAGAGTCCAGCTCATCGGCCAAGGGGGCGTTTTCCCTCTTGAGAGACGCGTGCAGGGTGGAGCCACCTGAACGCTGCCAGAGCTCCGAGGGTTTCCTCATCTGTCCACAGCAGAGAAACCAGCAGCAGGTCCAGGGGAGAGAGAAGGGGAGCTCACTGTCCAAATGCCCCAGGGCCTTGGTGCGTGGTGGTAGTGGGGGCCTTCTCACGGCTGCCCCTCAGTTTGAGCAGGTGGAGAGGCGGCTCTGCCATTGTAGGGTGAGGTGGGGGCCTTCTTCTGTTCAGGGCTGGCACATGGGACCAGACAGGGACAGTCCAGCCCTGCCCAGGCAAGTTCCACCTTTTGTTCCTTCCACCCCAGCTTTTAGGCTTCCTATCACTTCTCAGTGCATACGCGTGCTCTGCCCAGTTCAGTTCCACATCCACCAGCAGGGCAGGCTTCAACTTTAATAACATACACTCTGCCTGGCTGGGAACACCTCCCCGCCCCCTCCCACCTCAGAGATGCAGGGTCACCTTCAGGACCCCCATAGAGACACAGCTCATATGTGGGCAGAAGGGGTCTCCACTGCATTTGAACACTGGGCTGCTCTCTAGGACAAACGCAGGACATCAGCCAGCAGCTGAGTGTTAGCCACACCTGCGGACATAAGGCTCAAATGGGAGAGGAGAGTGAGCAGCATGCCACCCACTTCCGTTCAGGAGTCCAAAGGCCTTTTCCATACCTTCTGGGAGATTTCCCTAATGGAATTGTGCCTCTGTTTACCCTCCATGCTTCACTCCTTTTATGAAAAGTCTTGCCATCCCACGCCACTTCTTCTTCCTGCCATCACAATCTACATATGTGCATAGCCTCAGAAGAGCATGACACGTCCACGTAGTGTCATGCACAAAAGCACACATCTGTGTGTGACATGAACATGCACGTGGGCATGTGCTATGAAACCGTGCTGGACAAAATCAGACAGTGGGTGATGACTGTCATTGGGGAGAGCAAAGCGGCAAACACCTTCATTAGAATTAGGGAATCCCCGATATCTGGAAATTGCAAAAAGAAAAGAGTTTTCCCTTCAAATGGGACACCCCGCCTATAGCAAAGGAGCACCCAGCATGTGCCCCTGAAGGGTTTTGCCCTGACGTGGCCCATCTCCTTGTGCGTCTGCCCATACAGGACAGCAAACCTCTGTGACAAACGATCTCTCCCATGACAGAAGTGCAAATAGACCCTGATGCCCTCCCTTCCTGACTGATTGTCCATGTTCCTGCTGTGAGTTGGGACATATGTGGGTGTCTCAACATGTGTGCATGAGCACACTCACATACACACTCACAAACTCTAATTCCATATGGCTCCTCACGTACAACATGCACTGACCCATGTTGCACGGCTGTCTGGTCTGTCCTCCCCCCTGCTCTCTGCTGTGCACACAATACTACAAACACACGTGAACACACACTCACACACGGACCCCTCGGGGACATGGCTTCTCCTTTTACATGTATTTGGCTACACTGCAGGTTTTATCCTGTCCTCCATCCTCTGCCATTCAGTGCACAAATGCACACACACAAAAGCATACATACCCACGCATGCATGCATGCATATGTATACTTGCCAGGACCCCATTATGACATGGCTTCTCCTGTTTTTTACATATACGGGGCTCTGCTGCTTGGCCAGATTTGTATCCTTCATCCCTAATTCACTCATGTATGTGCACGTACACGCACACACACACACATACCCCCAGATCCCGAAGGATTCACTTATTATTGCATGCCCTGGACTATGTTATATGTCCAAATCTGTCCTTCGCCCCTAGCCCCCGAAGCTCACACATGCAAAGACAAATACACACATGCACACACCCCTGCACTCCAAAGTTCACGACAGCATGGCTTTTCCTGTCATTACACACCTGGGGCTATGCTGTATGTCCAGCCCTCTTCTCCCTCCTGCAACAGACAGCCTGGAGGAGGGACAGTATTTAGCACTTGAGCCCACTGTGGTGTCCTGCTTTGCTAGAGATTACCCTTCACCCCAGCTGAGCAGGCCCTTGAATCCAAGTGTAGCTCTTCCCTAACCAGGCTCCCCAACAGCAACAGGAGAGAGGTGGGAGGCGAGTGGCTGCTGTCCCCTGGTTCCTCCCTCCCCTGCTCAAAGGCTGCCCTCTGTCCTTGGTCACAGGCAGCCTGCCAGCCCCATCGTGTTCTCTTTAAGGACACTTTGTGCCTAACCCTTCATGTCTCAGTCTTTGCCAAGAATCTTAAAGTCACAGACCCCTAGAGCATCCATTGCAGCGGCTGACCCACAGATCATCTGGTCCACCCCCTCCCTGGTACCCACACTGCTGCTACTTCTCTGCTGTCTTCCCCCAGCCCATAGGGTCGCAGCTGCTCTGGACAAGAGACAAGGGGCCAGGATGGCCTTGTGTCTCTGTGTGGGGTCTTTGGTTAATTCTCCAGGAGGCAGCTTCTCCCTCTCCCCCTTTGGGGCCTTCCTGCCCCTGGAAACTTTTTCTGGGGACTATCTTTAGGTTTGGCAAGTGCAGGAGGCCAGGAGTTCTTTGTCCCCTCTGGCTTTGCCCATCTACCCCAACGTCAGCCTGTACAGCAGGACTCTGACCCCTCTTTTAAGGAAGGGTGACCTGACTTCCACTTTGATCTAGGCCACTCTTCCTTCTGAGATGACAGAGGGAGGCCAAGGTCAACTGGCCAGGAGTGGGGAATTGCTGATGAGTAGATGGTGAAGATCCAGGTTCCCAAATGCCAACAGGGTTTAGAAACAGCTTGCTAACCAGCAACGTAGGATCCACTGGCCCCAGGGCCTGTGGGACTTCCACGGAATCCACTGTTCCTCTGCTGGGCTTCAAATATTGGCTGAATGTCTGGGCATCCTTTGTGAAAGACTTAGGGGGTCCCCTCTTCTCTGGCCAGAAAGCAGAGAAGAATATGCTGTGATCACTCCCCTACTTATGTTTGCAGAGACCTTCTAGAGGAGTGGGAGCCATTGGGACACTGTCCACATGAATCCAAAATGGCAGCCTCTACCTGCGCATTCTTTCTCTCCCATACCTCAAACTCTTTTCCCCTGTGGGCTCTTTGCCTTCAGCTTTGCCAAGACAGGGGCTGCTGTGGGTGATGCCAAGTCCAGAAGACCAGGACTACCTGAACAGCCCCTGAGGGATGAAGTCTTCCTTTGGATGGGATGGCCATTCTTCATCTTTAGCTCTCATTGGTAGCCACATTATAACACCCTTAAGACACCTAAGGCTTGTGTCTCTGGTCTCATGGTCAAGCCCTGGGAGGCCTGCGCTCTTGGGGAAGGAGAGTCAATATAAGACTTGTCTCCCATTTTCTGTGGCCTCTGCAGTATCGTGGCAGAAACTTCTGACTCTAGAGGAGGGTTGAGGGGAGATGAGTTTGGTCTGAGAGAGGCATGTGCTTCCTTTGGCCTTGGCTGTCTTGGCTGGCAGCTTTAGAAACCCATAGAAGAAATAAAAGGAGAATGAAGCCCAAGCAGCTGGCCTGAGGGCCTGCTGGTTTCCTGGTAGGTAATGGCAGATGGCTCCTGGCCCAACAGGCGGGCAGCAGCTCTGGTCCCCAAGCCCGGTGTGAGGGCAGGCGACAGTCCTTCCAGTCTCCTTTGCTTTCCTCTGACCTGCCTGCCCTAGGCCTGTGGTCCCCACCCCACCTGTGCCTAGGGGAACACAGGGGCTAATGATGTGCTGCAGGACATGCTGTCCTTGCCTGGAAGCCGGCGGTCATTGAACGTGTGCATGTTGATGACGGCATCAGTCTTGACCATCATGGGAGGCTGCGGCTTGTGCTTGACCCGACGCTGGCAGGTGAGGGAGAAACGGATCTCATCGGCCACAGTACTGCAGAAGGAACGCTGGGGAAGTGGGGGAGGAAAAGGGGCACATGGGTGAGGCCTGGTCCTGCAATTCTGGCCAACACTTCCCCTTCCTCCCAGAGCCTCTGCTAAGGCTAACCATCTCCCTCACACCATCACTCCACCCATCTCCCTGCTCCCTGCAAGATGATTAGTTTGTGTAGCAGTCTACAAAGCCCCATGTTCTTGTTTGGGGACTCGGGTAGATAGAGCAGGTATTGCCATCTTATCCCCATTTTACAGATGAGTAAACTGAGGCTCTGATTGGCATGCATGTTAAAGTTTGAGGAACTCTGGTTTACCTGCCTGGCTTTTCTCCACTAGACTCTGAGGGCAGGAACCAGCCAGTTTCATCCCCATGAGCCCCACCCCAGCACTCAGCCTTTCCGAGTCAGTTCTCAAGAAATACTTGATGAACATATGCATAGCCCTTCTCCTGGGAGGGCTTGCAGTGAAGGGGAAGAGTCCTTATCCTCCCACTCAGGAAAGTGCAGCATGTGTTTGTCAAGGTGGGCACCTGGGAGGTAAATCCGTGAAGGGCTGCTGGGTGGCAGTGGCCTCCTTCTGGCCTGGGTCCCTGCAGATAGCCAAGAGGGACAGCAAGAGTGCAATGTTGTCCACATGTGTCTGATGGTGGTGGCTTCTATGAGATCAACTGCCAGAGTTGTCCTGGGGCTTAGATGGAAGGCAGTGAGGGCTGTTGATGCCTGAACTGACCCAGTGAGGCCAGCGCTTTAGCACCAGGACCACTTGGCTGCAGGTCATGGGGGCAGGGAAACGGGGACCGGGCTTTGAATTCTGGCTCTGCTTCTTACCAGCTGTGACCTCTCTAGGCCTCCCCTTCTTCACCAGCTAAATGTAGAATATCATCCCTCCCCATCTGCTGATCATCATTCCACGAATATTTAATGAGACCCTACTATGTGCCAGGCACTATTCTAGGTATTAGGCATAAGCAGCAAAGATGACAGATAAAGTCTTAGCCCTTTGGGAGCTTGTGGTCTAATGATGGGATGGAAACATAACAAACAAGTAAATAATTTCAGATAGCGATAACTATTATTATAAGAATAAAGCAGTGAAATGGGATGGAGAGGGATTGGGAATGGGGACAGGTAAGGAAGCCTATTTGAGCAGGTGACATTTAAACTGAACCCTGAATGACCAGAAGGAGCCGAGAGTGGGCCCTCTGGGGGAACAGCATTCCAGGAACAGCATGTGCCAAGGGCATGACACAGAAACATGCTTTGTGTGTTAAGGACTAAAAAAGAGGCCAGTGTGTGTGGAGCAGAGTAAGGGAGGGAATGGTTAGAGAGAGGTCAGAGGATGGGCCATAGGCTTTTTGGTGAAATATAGAGCTCATTCCAATTGTAATGGGAATTCCTAAATAATTTGGTCATTGCTCTTTTTCAATGTATCGTTTTTTTTAATCATTCCTTATTGTTGGGCATTTAGGTTTTCCCCCATTTTTTCATGCTATAACTAACACTTCAACAAACATCCGTGTATATAAAACTGCACATTCCTTGACCACTTCCACAGGGTACACCTCTAAAAGTAGAAATTGGCTGGTTGAAATGTATGGCCAGTTTTAAAGACTCTGCACATACTGTGAAGTTGCCGTCAAGAAACGTGCCTACTTCTCTCAGCAATACCGGGCAGTGGCCCTTTCCTTACTCCTGTGCTAACTCTAACACCAGCTATTATCTTTCTCCTGCTCTTTGTTGACTTAGGCTTGCTGGTTATACAGGATTCCATTTCATTTTTGATGGATATATAAGCTGCCTGTTTTAATGGTCCCCTCTCCATACGATTTAACTGCAATCTCCTTCCACACTGGACCTGGATCCCTTTGAACTTCTCTGAGAGGCACTTCGCCCCCAGCCCAGGCGTACATTTAAATCACCCTGCAGGCTTTCTTAAAACGCCAATACCAGGCTCCACCACAGACAAATTAAAGAGTCTCTGGGAGTGAGGCCAGGGCATTAGCACTTAAGAACTCTTTCCCTGTGATTCTAATTTGCTACTGGACCCAGAACCACTGCCCAACTGTGCTTGAATTAATCAGACAGGTTGAGCCTCTGCACGCTTCTACCTTCCGCACGCTTGGGCCGACCCTCTTAACTTTTTTTTTTTAAACTTTTGATTATGGAAATTTGCAAATATATGCAAAAGTAGAGAGAACAGTATAATGAACCCCTATGCAACCATCACCCAGCTTCAACAATTACCCTGGAGGGTTTTACGCAGGGAAATGACATGGTTTGAATTAAGTTTTAAACACTGGCTGCTGGGTGAATTGTGCATGGCTGGCAGCGGGAGGCCAGTTTGGGGGCTACAGCAGAGTCCAGGCTGGAGGTGATGGCAGCTTGGCCTGGGGGTGGCGACAGCAATGGGAAGCCATGCTTGGCTGGACAGAGGTAGGGCCGGCAGGACTCCCTGGTGGATGGATGCAGGTGGGCTGTTGTGAGGTGCGATGGGACACCACTGTGTGCCTGGCACATAGGAGGGAGAAACTGGTGCAAATCCCGTTCTTCTACCTCCTCCCCTTCGCATGCGGGCCCCAGTTCCGGGTACTCACCTGCTCTCGCTCTGCAGTTTTGCGGAGCTTGTACACGAACTCGCCCACGGCTACCAGCACAGACAGGACCAGGCCGGCGGCCAGGACGATGAAGATGCCCCCAATCTTCTGGATCCCCAGGGCACTGGCCTCTTTGTTGTCCTCCTCAGGGCACCCGCTGCCCCGCCACCACTTCTCCTTCATGATGTGCAGCTTGTCCTCCTCCTGCAGCTGCAGGATGGCGATGGTGATCTTGTCCCGGTAAGGGGAGCCTGAGTAGGGGACAGGGGACCCCTGGCTGTCAGCGATCAGCACCGGCCACCATCACTAGCCCTCTGAGTCAGCTTGTGAATTGGGGGACCGTGTCATTGTTAGGCCTACATTTAAATCTTCATGTGGCATCTTGGCAGGTGGAAGTGCCCTGATTTGGGGTGGGGTGGGAGGCCTTGCCCATTGGACATCTGTCCCTACTGGCCCTGGAAGGCCCACGGTGTCTGGGCTGCACCAGCAGAGGTGCATGAGACAAGGCAGATGTGACCTCTGGGGACTAACCCTCCTTTGTGATGTCCCAGTTCTCAGTGCTTAGGCTAGGGCTGGCCTCATGAGGTACGTGGCTCATCCCCCTGCTTCCGGGCTGAGGAAATGCCACCTTTCCAGGTTCAGTCGGATGAGCTGAGAGAGGAGCAGGAGACCGTGTGCATGAGTCGACCTTGGGGGAGATCGCCCGTTCTCTGTCCACGACCCCCACCTGCCCGCAGCCCCTCACTCACCCATGGGCGTGCCGATGCCATAACCCTTGGAGTCGATGAGGCCCCCAATCTGCGTGAGGTTGCAGTTCCTCTGCGTGACGTACTCGATGGTCGTGGACTCCATGAGCAGCGCGTAGTCAGCTGTGAGGGTCCTCTGGATGCCCTCCTCATTGTTTTTCACCAGCGCCGAGGGCTTGCTGCTCATGAAGGCCCACATCTTCTCGAAGGTGGAGATCTTGGATTTCTGGGCCGGAAGGAAGGAGGGGCACACACACAGTTACCGAGCACGCCAGGGACCAAGCTCCACAGGGCTCGGGCCACTGACCTGTCTGTAATCTTCAGAGATAGAGCATGCCACCCATTGCTCAGATGTGGAAACTGAGGCCCTGGGAGGCGAGGTCCCCAAACACACAGGTGGTGAGTGACAAAGTAAAGATTCAGACTCAGGCTCACTTCCTGGAAACCCTTGGTTCTTTGCCTTGACACAAGTGGTCTTTAGACTGACTTTTAAAAAATTAATTCTCTTTCTCTAACATTTATTAAACAATTAGCATGTGCAAACCTTGTTCTAAGTGTTTAGCCTGCATTAACTCACTGATTCTTTACAGGGATCACAGGAGGCAAGTACTATCATTAGCCCCACTTTACAGATGGGGGGATTGGGGCATGGCTAAGTCATTTGTCTAAGGTTACCCAGATACAAGTGGCAAGAGCAGACTTCAAACCCAGGTTATCTGGCTGCAGAGCCCATACTCCTAACCACTCAACAGCACTGCCTCACAGGAACCACTGTGAGGGTGGGGAGGGAGAGACAGATGCCGACTATGGCAAAGCTTCTGGGTCCTGGGCCCCTCGCTTCTGCTTCAACCAAAGCAGGCCCCTTTAGGCACTGTGTTTCAGGGGAAGCTTTTGAAGCATGGGCTCCTTTAGACAGTGAGAGAGAAGCAGGGAGAGAATTGCAGAGACAGGGAAGAATGAGGGCAGCTGGAGTAGGCGGTCTGCAAGCCCCTTTGGCTGCTCCAGAGACTAAGGCTGTAGGGTCCTGGGCTGGCCGCTGTTATGTGGACAGAATCAGCATCCCTAAGACCAGGCCTGTTTGGTGGGTGGCTGAGCCTGCCCTGGGGAGACTCAGGAGGTCCCTGGGGCCAAGGGAGAGGAGGGCCAGGGTGGAGCATCCCCTGATGCCTGGGAGACTGGGCAGAGCAGGGTGCATGGTGTTCATGACATTTCTCGGGAACTTAGTGCCTGCCAGCTGCCTGCTCCCAGCAGCCCTGGCTGGTCCCATGGGAGCAGGTGGCTCTGCAGGCCCCATCGCACGTGGCTGTTTCCAAGTCTGGCTGTGCCTGTCTGTGATGTCAGCCTGTCTGAGTGGCAACCAGCCCAGCTCTGGTGTGCGTGATGGCATGAGTATGCTCAAACAGGCTGGTGCAGGACTGGGGGATGGGCAGGGGATGGAGAAGAAAACGTGCCTGCCAGGAGCCAGGTGTGGAGCCTGGGAGGAGAGTGCGCTACCTGCTCTCCAGGTGCTCCCCAGCTCTGACAAGGGCTGTCTCTTCCAAAACTGGCTCCTGGAGACCCAAGGGTGTCCTAGGGAGGAGGCAACAAGGACGGGAGGGAGCCCCAAAGCAGCAGGCAGGACCCCTTGGAATTCCACCTGAGCATGGAATCGTTGGGTGCCAGGGATGCCTCCTTTGGGCACGGGGCCCCTGGGGGCACCTTCACAGACAAGCAACCACTCCCCGACCTGCAAATTTCCCTGCCCAGGAGCCAAAGGCCCGGAAGGGCTCAGATGCTGCAGCTTCGCTGGGCTGCTCCCAGCTCCTCCTGGTACTCAGGCAGTCCTGCTTCCAGCTGTGCCTGCTCTCCAGCTACTCCACTCTCCAGCTGCTCTCTATGTAGGCAACTCTTGTCTCCACCGCTGCACGTGCCGCCCAGCTCCTCCACTGCCCAGCTATTGTCCCACCTCAGCTCTTCCTGCCGGCCCAGGTGCTCACCCCATAGCCACTCCAATAGGTCTCCAGCTCTTCCGACTCCTCACATGTTTCTTATTTTCTAGATCATCTCTCATGTGCAGATTCTCCCACTTCCAACTTACCCTCTCTGTTCCTCTCTCACTGTTATGCTCCCTCCCCATATGCTCCCTCCTTCCCTACCTGTGTAGGGAAGCTTCTAAATGGCTTCCAATGACCCCCGGCTCCTGGTATTCATACCTGTGTGCAATCCCCCCTCTTGAGTGTGGGCTGGACATACTGACTTGCTTTTATTTAACTCCTCCCAAAAGTGATGGGAGGTCACTTCCAAGATTAGGTTACAAGAGACTGTGACTTCCATCTTGCGCGTACTTTCTCTGGCTCTTCTCTGATGGAAGCCAGTGCCATGTTGTGAGTTGCCCTATGGAGAGGCCCACATGGCAAGGAACAGAGGGAAACCTCTGGCCAACAGTCTGTGAATAACTGAAGCCCTCAGTCCAATAACCCAGGAAGGACTAAGTGCTGCCAACAACCACATCACTGAGCTTAGAAGCTGTGCCTTGAAATGACTGCAGCATTAGCCAACACCTGACTGCAGCCTTGTGAGGGACCCAGAGCCAAAGGACTCAGCTAGGCTGTGCTGGACTCTTGACCCACAAGCCGTGAGACCACAAACACTGTTTTAAGATACTAAGTTTTGGATAATTTGTTATGCAGCAATAGACAGCTAGTACATCCTCTCACCCATATACTCACATAAGCTACTTCTGTTCCTGATGTAGCTGCTTTTAAAGATAATTATTAATTCCAACTATCCCTACCATCAAATTATCTAAGTCCAACCTTCCCTGCTTTGTCAGATACACATGCTCCCCAGATACCTTACCATCCTGGTTATTGTAACCTAAATACTGTTCTCCCTTCAGTGACGCCAGCTCCTCAGCTCCTGTCCATCCCTGTCTCTTCTGCTTTATAAATTCTCCCTCTTTTACCAGAGATGGGAACCAGGGGTAGATGAGACAATCAGGGCTCTGCTTACCCCTCAGTGCACTCACCCGTTCATCCACCATCTGTCTATCCATCCATCCCCTCATTCATCTGGCCATGCTTTCACCCACACACTGTCTACACACTAATTCATTCTACCCACTAGCTAACTATCCACCTAGACTTTTACCTATTTACCCACCTATTCATA